CTGGGCTCTGCTTTTTTTTTTTTTTTATGTTGTGCTGGGAACAAAAGACCAGATTATCTCTGGGGTGGGGCCCAGGGGAAGGCGGGGAGGCCTCTGTTGAGCCAGCGAACGCAGGAGAGTGAGCTCACCCCGGAGGGTTTCAGCAGCTCAGTGTTTCCACGTCTTCAGCGCTTCCAGCCGGCACCTGGGAGGTTGTTAAAAAATAGCCACACCTGGGGAGGTTGGGATCCCACAGACGCGCGGTGGGGCCCAGGCTGCTGCGTTTAATGAGCTCCCCCGGGGGCGACTCGAACCGGCAGAGGGGCGCTCAGTAAATGAAGCCGTCTCTGCAGTCGCTTTGGGGTCAGGGGTGGGCTGTTTCGCCCTGAAGGGGTTTCCAGGAGGCGGTGGGTTGATGGGGCCGTGATGAGACAGACAGTGAGCCGGGACAGGTGGAAAAGGGAAACTGAGGCAGGCAGGGAAACGGCCAAGCAGTTTCCAGCCACCTGGTAAACATCGACCTTTCCAAGTCCGTGCAAATGCCTTTCCTAAGCTTTAAAGTCTTAAAATATAATCCGTCATCTTGGTTTTAGAGCAACAACCGGGCATTAGACAGGTGAGATGGGCATAGAAAATTCAACGACCCAACGCTTTTTTTTTTTTTTAAACATATCTTTATTGATTTCAGAGAGAGGAAAGGAGAGGGAGAGATAGAAACATCAATGATGAGAGAGCCATTGATCAAGCCCCGAACCCGGGCATGTGGCGTGACCGGGAATCAAACCCTGATCGCCTGGATCCCAAGTCGACGCTCAACCGCTGAGCCACGCCTGGCCCGGCCAACACCTTTTTTTTTTTTTTTTTTAAATCCTTACCTGAGGATATTTTTTCCATTGCTTTCCAGAGAGACACATCGATGGGTTGCCTCGCGCACACACACCGGGGAATCGAGCCTGCAGCCCAGGTATGTGCTGTTGGCCAGAATCGAACTCGAGGCCCTTCAGTCNGGTATGTGCTGTTGGCCAGAATCGAACCCGAGACCCTTCAGTGCACAGGCCGGCCGGCCAGGGCTACCCAACACTTTTTAAATTTTTATTTTATTTCTTCCCGGTGACAGTGGACATTCAATATTATGTTAGTTTCAGGTGTAAGCATTGTGGTTAGACATGTATATAATTTACAGAGGGTTCCCCCCGATATTTCTAGCACCCACCTGGCGCCATCCATAGTTACCGCAATAGTATAGACTATGTTCCCTGTGCCGTATTTTATGCCCCGTGACTATCTTGTAGCCAACAATCTCTACTTCTCAACCCTTTCACCTTTTTTCACCCAGCCCCACCTAACCCCTCTCCTCCGGCAACCATGAGCCTCGTCTGTGTCTATGAGTCTGCTTCTGTTTTGTTGGTTATTTTGTTCTTTAGATTCCACATAAAACTGAAATCATATGGTATCTGTCTTTCTCCGTCTGACCTGTTTCACTGAGCATAACACCCCCTGGCCCGCCCACGTTGTTGAAAATGGTAAGAGGCCGTTCTTTTTCATGGATGCATAGTATTCCATTGCGTATACGTACCACAGGTTTTGCAAAAAAATGCGAAACAATAGTTGAGAAAGATAGACGCGCCCTTATGTTCATGGCAGCATCATTGACACGAACCAAGAAGTGAAAGCAGCCTGTGTCCATCGATAGACGACTGGATAACGAATGGCTTGTCCAGTCTTTCTTCGGTCCCCGAGGCATTAATTGTCTTAATTAATAATTAAGACAAAATATTTGGGCTCAAAATCTCCTGCACGATCCCTCCACACATTTATTTATGAAATAAATATTTCATATTTATATTAATGAAAGTCTATGAATAAACTAGACTTTGCATATTTTCTCCTGTTATTGATCATTGATTATTAGCGCAATTGGAAAGACATAAAAGTTGAGAGGACAATGACCTTCTGCGCTAACCCCTCCCCCCCCGCCCCAGCCGGCTGTCCTGATTTCTAGTTAAAGATTAAGAAAGAATGCACCCATGTCCGGAAACCCGGAAACCTACCTGTAAAACGGGTTTCAGGTAATATACCGGTTGAGATAAGGGAAGGTCGGAGCTTACTAAGCCCAAAATGCATAGATCTGCTTTTCTGCTCCAGAGATAGATAATATTGCTGACATTTCACCCTCAGACGGGTCACAGAGCTGTGGTCTGTTTGGAGACCGGAAGACATCCCCAGCTCAGTAACGAAGACCCCGGGCAGGATGACGCCAGGGGACAGATAAATCAGATTAAAGAAATCACGCAAGGCCCTATCCTAAGTGATCCACAGAGCCGATGACCTCGAACCCTTTACTGGTGAGTTTTTGCCTTAAAAGGGCCCATTTGAGGAACCTTCGTACCGTGTCCACGGTGGCTGCACCCGTCTGCACTCCCACCAGCAGTGCACCAGGGTCCCCCTTTCTCCAATTCCAGCACTGGTTGTTTGTTGACTTGTTTTTTATTTAATTTAATTTAATTTATTTTATTTTATTTTATTATTTTATTTTATTTTATTTTTTATTATTTTATTTTATTTTATTATTATTTTATTTAATTAATTTATTTTTTTAAAATATATCTTTACTGACTTCAGACAGAGGAAAGGAGAGGGAGAGAGAGAGATAGAAACATCAATGATGAGAGAGTCATTGATCGAGCCCGCAACCCCGGCCTGTGCCCTGACCGGGAATCAAACCCTGATCGCCTGGATCCTAGGTCGAAGCTCAACCGCTGAACCACACCCGGCCGGGCTATTTTATTTTTTTAAATAATTTGATTTATTGATTTGAGAGAGAGAGAGGAAGGGAGGGAGAGCGAGAGAGAAACATCAATGGTGAGAGTCATTGATTGGCTGCCTCCTGCATGCCCCATACTGGGGATCGAGCCCACAACCCGGGCATGGGCCCCGACTGGAAATGGAACCTTGACCTGGTTCTCAAACTCGGTCCCTGGACCACTCGCTGACATGACCCCGGGGGCCACGACATCAGCCAGGGGCTGTGACATCACCCGGGGCCTAGTTCCAAAGGCCGGTTCTCAGGTTCGCCGCTGCGAGGCTGACCTGGAGTCTCTGCAGCGGGCGGTGTGGAGGGATCGTGCAGGAGATTCTGACCCCAGAGAGGCCTCCTCGAGATGGAAAGAAATGGAAAAGGGGGGGTTCCTCCCAGACACTCCCAAGGTTTGCTGCCTGAGAACCTGGGAGGTGGGGGGCCTTCTCTGAGAGCAGCAACCTGGGGTTGGACGGATATGAAGGGAAAAGCCCCGGATAGCCTGGGGACCCCCTGGGGAGGGTCCTTCCTGCCTCTCCCAGCTCCTGGGGCTCCAGGCGTCCCTGGGCTGGTGGCCGCCTCCCTCCCGTCTCTGCCTCCGTCTCCCCAAGGCTCCTCCTCTGTGTCTGTGTCTCCCCTTCTGTCTCTTATAAGGACCCTGTCCTTGGACATCGGGCCCCCCTGACCCAGGGCGACCGCATCTCAGGGCCTTCACGTCACCCCACCTGCAGAGACCGTGTTTCCAGATAAGGTCCAGTTTGAGGTTCTACGTGGTCAGGAATATGGGGGCCACCAAAGAACACCCCCCCCACACACACGGGGCTGTCTTAGAATCCTGGCAACCACACCCGTCTTCATTGAATAATACCATTCACGGATACTTTCTTCAGCCTGAAACATGAAAATACCTATCGCGTGGCTGTTTTTTAACCTCAAAGGCAGCTGCTTGGTTTAGTAAACAGAAAATAAATTTAAAATCGTAAATTAAAAAAAAATAAACACAACGAATCCTGATGCCTTTTCCCACTTCTCTTCTGAATTTTATCTTTATTTCAGCTGGGAGCTGGTGGAATCTCCTCCAGCCCAGCAGGTGGCTTCGGCCTGACGCAGGCCAATGAATTTTTTTTTTTTTTCAGTTAATCTCTGAAACACGGACGATTTGCTGATTTCTTTCTTTCAAGTGTATCTTTGTTGTTGAAAGTATTGCAGAAATTATTCGGTTAATCTCCCCCCACCCCCACCCCCTTCCCTCTGCTCCGAATCTATTTTATTTATCAGTTTATTTTGTTCATTAGATTCCACGTGTAGGTGAGACTATGGGATACTTGTCCTTCTCCGACGGGCTTCTTTCGCTTAGCGCAATACTCTCGAGGTCCCATTTGCTTATTTCTGACCAACAAATCCTTAAAACTACGCAAAACTCTCCTCCATCTGCCAGTTTTTACCCCATTCCACCTTTTTACCGCTCCTATGTTCTGTTATTTTTTTTCATTTATTTTACGGGCCTTTATTTTGATCTATTTTACGTTAGTTGGTTGATTTTGAAAGGACCCCCTTTGAAATGAACATCCAGAGACTTGGGGGTGCGGGAGGGGGTTTGTTTAGCTTCTCCGTTTGCCAGACCGTCAGCTCTGTTCTGCATCACGCGGCCCTGCCAAGGGATCCCTGTGGTTTTAATACTGATTTAACCGATTGCTGTAATTATGCCAACCGGCTCATTCCGTGCATAATAAAAGCACCATTACGAGCCTAATTGCTATATAATCAGAGGTTTGCCCTAGAAGGGAGCACATTCAATTCTTTGCAAGGAATGTGTGTGTTTTTTCTGTGAATTCGAAAAGCAATTACAGTGTTTGTAAAAAACAAACAAAAAATGGTGTTTTTTTCTTTGTTTTTAGTTTAGCTACTCTATATATAGAGAGAGAGAGTAGCTAAACTAATATATATAATAAATATATATATATAAATATATATTTATATTATATATAAATATATATATTAGTTTATATATTAGTTTATATATATATAAACTAATATATATAATAAATATATATATTATATATATATAATGTAGTTGTTTTCAGTCTGAAACATTTTATTTATTTAAATATAGTTGGTATACAATATTATATTGGTTATATTAGTTACAGGTGTACAATATTATGTACAATTTATTTATTTCTGAATGCCAGATGTCTTGAATTTTATAACTAATATATATGTTTAAAATTATGCTTTTGTTGATTTAAAATTTGTTTTAAAATTATGTCTTTATTGAGAGAGGAAGGGAGAGGGAGAGAGATAGAAACATCCATAATGAGAGAGTCATTGATCGGCTGCCTCCTGCACGCTCCCGACTGTGGATCGAACCCGCAACCCTGGCATGTGCCCTGAGCAGGAACCGAACCTGCGACCTCCTGGTTCGTAGGTCGATGCTCAACCACTGAGCCACACCGGCCAGGCTGCCTACTCTTTATTAAATAAAACTTTGTTTTTGGTACAACTGTGCATTTAAATCTCCAACAAGACACTTGAACCGGGTTTCGTTTTCATCGCTTGGAAGACGCCTTAAATTCTGTGTGTTCCTCGGAAACCCGAGGAATCCGACGCCTTTCGCAGAAACCTTTCCAGGTGTCAAACAACGTACGCGATGGCACCTTGCCACGCGATGCTCAAAGTTTAGTAACGATCGGCGTATGAATTATTGCAATAACGCCAAACCAGGAGGTCTAACCTGGCCAGGCAAGTGGTTCCGGTGTTTGAAAAAAAATTTTAAAAAAAGATGATTGGCCTTGTTTGGTGCCTGAAATGACACCCAGTGGGGCAGCTATTGGGTCCCAACGTTTTCCAGAAGGCAATGGTCTAAATGACGTAACTGCAAAAGTGACCATATGAACCATGATAATTCAGCATTTCTGCATCAATATATTATTTTAATTTTATGTATTGCCCAGTGGGCTCTAGATCTTTATATTTTTAATTACCGTTGACATTCGATATTCCATTAATTCCGGGTGCCCAGCATAGAGGTTGGACATTTATATACGTTACAAAGTGATTCCCGCCCCCCCACACACCCGTCCCGTAAATCTAATACCCACCTGGCCCCGTACGTAGTTATTACAATATCATTATTGACTATATTCCCTGTGCCGTCCTTTACATCCCTGTGACTGTGTTTTATAACTGGCCATTTGTGCTTTTATTTTTTTAAATTTTACGGACGTTTTCTCCGTCACGAGGAAGCAGGGAGACGGTGGAGAAAAATCAGAGCCGTTTTGAGGGTCGGATGCCCTGAGAAGGGGCCCGTTGGTGGTCCTTGATATTTGTCTCAACAACCCCCCGGGGGCATTTCAACGTTAAAGTGAGGGAGCCCTGGTCGGCGTGGCTCAGTGGTTGGAGCATCCGCCCTCCCGCGGAAGGGGGGACGGTTTGATTACCAGGCAAAAGCGGGGTTGCAGGTTCGATCCCGGGCTCAGGTCAAGGTGCATACGGGAGGCAACCAATCCATGCGTCTCTCTCACATCGATGTTTCTCTCTCTCTCTCTCCTGACCCTTCACCTTTCCTCACGTCCATTCTCTCTAAAAATTAATGGAAAAAAAAATATATCCTTGAGCGAGGAATTAAAAAAAAGGAAAAAAAGCAAGCAAGCAAGAAAAAAAGTGAACCCCTTTCTACCCACCGCCCCGCCATCTGGAGGTTTCCTTTCTGAAAATTTGCGAAAAAAACAAACAAAACCCAGTACCCACTTCTGTTGGATGCTCTCGGGCCCTAATCAGAAGCGATCTTTGCTTGGGTTCTGCTTCTCGGAGCTCCGTTGGTCACCACATCCTGTTGACGGAGCTTCTGTCACCTCCTTCCCACGAGAGCCTCTCTCCCCTTATCGCTGCCATCTGTCGCCTACCCGGGCCGCGGGGGGCTCCGGCCTGTCACAGCCTGCCTCGGGCTCTGTCTTTGGAGCGAGACGCGCCCTGAATTAATAGGAGGGGACGGAATCCCGCCTCTTAGGTGCTGGTGGCCTGGTCACGGATGACTCCCCCAGTCGATCTTCTCCTGTCTCTGTTGGGCACCCAGTTCTCTCTCTTTTTAAAAAATTTATCTTTAATGTTGAAAGTATTGCAGATGCCCCCCCTTTTCCTTCCCATTGACCCCCCTGCACCCCACTCCTGCCCCCACCGCAGGCCGTCCCCACACTATTGTCTGTGTCCATGGGTCATGCACAGATGCATATAAATTCTTTGCTTAATCTCTCCCCACCCCCCCGCCTTCCCTCTGAGGTCCCTCCGTCTGCTCCATGCTTCCGTGTCTCTGGATCTATTTTGTGCATCCGTTTATTTTGTTCATTAGGTTCCACCTATGAGTGAGATCCTGTGATGTTTGTCTTTCTCTGCCTGGCTTATTTCACTCAGCATAATACCCCTCCAAGTCCCACCCTACTGTCCCAAAGGGTAAGAGCTCCTTTTTCACAGCTGCATAGTATTCCACGGTGTAGATGTACCACAGCTTTTTTATCCGCTCGTCTACGGATGGGCACCTGGGCTGCTTCCAGATCTTAGCGATTGTCAATTGTGTGGCTATGAACATAGCGGGGGACCGGAGGGAGGACACCTAGGTCTCCATTCTTCCAAACCAAGGTACCCATTCCCCCAAACCCAGGGGGCCTCATAATCACCATCTGACCCTTTACAGAAAGACTATGTCAACTTGTGATGTAGACAAACCTGTTCTGTTCCCCCCAGAGCTCACCGTCTCCACCACGGATGGACGGAGGTGAATATGGAATTATAACCCGTCGGGCGAGGGCGAGACAGAGTCACCACGTCTCCTCCACGGGGTGCTGCTGGGATTAAAGCCGACAAAGGACACGGCCGATTGCACCTTAGTAGCTTTCCAGTCAGCACCCCTGGAATGAGCGAACCTGTGAAGCATTTGGATGCAGCCTGCAACCCAGGTGTGCGTCCTTGTGCCCGAATCGGACCGGGGGCCCTTCGGTCTGTGGGCAGATGCTCTAACGACCGAGCCAAACTGGCCAGGGCTACGTCAGGCATTTTACTCCCACCAGCGATCGAACCCACAACCTAGATATGTGCCCTGACCAGAAATGAAACCCACAACTTTTTGGTGCAGGCGAGGACCCTCCAACCAAGTGATCCACCCAGCCAAGGCCATCGGTTCATTCTTGTAGGTGCCCTGACGGCCGACGGGACCCGAAGCCTTGGCGCCAACCCACGGATCTACCTTTTTAACCAACTGAGTTTTAAGTGTTTAATCCGAACAAAAGCTGAAGGCTATTTCCGGAAACGTAAATTATGCAGGGTCTGCCGTGGCCCTTTTTCGCGTTTGTTGGGACGGGTGGGACTCCGCCTGTTCACGCAGCCAGACTTCGGGCTCTGTGCCCGCTGTCGACACTTTGGCCAACGTGGCAGGTGGGAACCTTGGCTACGCCACAAGCCCCGCTGTTTGCGGGTCTGCCGTTGGGGCTGCCACTCGCCCCGGGCATAGTGAAATTACGTAGGACTCACGGACGGAGTCGGGGTCAATATGCCAAAGCAGAAGGTGGATGGCTTTGTGTTTCATACTTGATTCTTTTCATGGTAGCTCTGGACAAGGCCAGGATTTAAGAAAACAATTTATTTATTTTTTAATCAAAGTGAAATTTACAGGATATGTAATCAACCGTTTTTAAGTGCACAATTCAATGGCATTGAGGACAGTCAATGTTGTACAACTCTCACCTCCATCTAGTTCCAATCCATTTTGTTTTTAAAAAAATTCTTTTTTAAAAAAAATCTATCTTTATTGATTTCAGAGAGAGGAAAGGAGAGGGAGAGAGAGAGAGAGAAACATCAATGAGGAGAGAGTCATTGATCGCAACCCGGGCCTGTGCCCTGACCGGGAATCGAACCCCGATCGCCTGGATCCTAGGTCGATGCTCAACCGCTGAGCCACGCCCGGCCGGGCCCAATCCATTTTCATCTTGCCAAAAGGGGACTTCATGTCCATTCACAGCCACCCTCCAACACTCTCTCTGGGCCTCTGCAAGCACAGATCTGCTTTCCGTCTCTGTGGATTTGCCCACAGAAAGCAATTTTTATTTTATTTTATTTTATTTTATTTTATTTTATTTTATTTTATTTTGTTTTGTTTTGTTTTGTTTTGTTCTGTTCTGTTTTATTTTATTTCATTTTATATTTTATTTTATTTTATTATTTTATATTTTATTATTTCATTTTATATTTTATTTTATTATTTTATTTTATTATTTTTAATTTTATTTTTAAATTAAATTAAATTATTTATTTTATTTTATATTTTATTTTATTATTTTTAATTTTATTTTTAAATTTAATTTCATTTTTTATTTTATTTTATATTTTATTTTATTATTTTATTTTAATTTAATTTTTATTTTATTTTATTATTTTATTTTATATTTTAATTTACTTTTATTTTATTTTTATTATTTTATTTTATTTTTGTAACCATTAACCATCCACGACTTTCGAGATGCCTCGCACGTGCCTGTCTGGCACTCAGTGTATACACAACAAAAATCAGTAACACGTTACCTGGTAGGTCCGTGTGTTAGCAGACAGCTTATGGGGACAGAGGTTGAAAGACAGCTAAAGCTGTCGGTGTCCATATTCCAATCGCCGTAGAGTATTTGTACAAGGGGCAGTGAAGGAAACTGGAACAAAGATTTTTTAAAAAATATATTTTTATTGATTTCAGAGAGAGAGGGAGAGAGAAACAATGAGAGTCACGGATCGGCCTCCCACTGGGGATCGAACCCGCAACCCGGGC